CTCGCATAAACAAAGGTTACACAAGTAGAAAGACACGCCAATTAGTTCGAATAAACATTGAAACTTTTCAAGCGGCGAAGAGAAAGTAAATTGGAAATGAAGAAATGATCATCGCAGTGAACGCAATTTATGCAATTGCGTAAAGAAGCCTGAAAAATAAAAATTCAGGACTTCAACGGGGTTTGAACCCGTGACCTAGCGATACCGGTGCGATGCTCTACCAACTGAGCTATGAAGCCAATGACGTTGGGAGCAGGTCAATTGTGGGTTCATATGTTCCCGTGAAAGAAATGAGTGTTAATGATATATGATTGATTTACCTGCATATAATTACCTGCATGATTTCTCTTCTCCTCGGCCGTCAATCTGAATTCTGCGTATAAACAGCTAAGCTTATTTAAATATGAGCTTGACCTTAGCTAGATAAAATTGTAGTCACAACAGTGGATTAAAAGCGTACATCTGAGCAGAAATTAGACACAACTTACATATTTCGCTTCCCTCTCACTTAAAGCAGGTGAATTGAAAACTTTTTAACGAAAAGACGAGATTCTTGAATTACCGAGACGGCAAAGTACGTGCAAAATTTTCTCCGTAGTCCCGGCTACGCGAAACAGCTCAACAACTCATCGTAGCCGCAGCACTACGCGGGAAAAATGAACAGTCACGTGGTTTTGATCATGCTTAGTAGCATGTTTAACCGTAGTCGTAGTCCGTAGTAGCTATAGCCGTAAAATAAACTCCCTAATGTTTAGGCAACGTTCACCGTAGGTGCCCTCGAGGAAGAAGGCACTAGAGAACCAATTTTAGTGACCACGGGTTTCAGTGAAAACATTGGTTGGTTTCAGTCGAGTGCAGAAACTCGCCATCACATTAATGTGAAAGAGGGCTTAACATTGTTTTAGATTTCTTAAGTTACAGTGAAAAACCACTCAGCCCCAATATGCATTATGTATTCCCTGATTTTCTATTTACCTAAATTCAGGCAGGATCTACGAGATACATAAAGCTACTTTAAAGGTTGTTTTCAATTTTTACAGCTAATCTGGGTGAAAGTAAAACAAATTTTATCGTGAAGGTGTATGTTTTAAAAATAGAGCAATAACACGACTTCTAAACTCATCATAGTTGCTCCGTTATCAATTAAACGTCTTGATGAATGTAAGAAAAAAGTCAGAAAAAGCCACAGTTGTTCTGAATTACATAAAAGTCTTAAAAAACACCCTTGTAAATTCTGACGGATCGGTTATTGATCAGTGTAACCAGATTCCGGTTAACGAATGCGATCTGACTATGGCTAAAGTATGCACAAAGCTTTTCTCTTGCTTTTTTAAGTCTCTATTCGTTTGTGATCATAATAATACATTGGTACTGATTAGAATGGTTCTGGTGTCTGGGGTTTCAGTCAGTTTAATATTAATAGTTAAGTCTGCAGACGAGGAAAACCCTGGAAAGCTTTTAATCCAAAAGAGTAATTAGTGTATAACTTAATTGTTTTCTTATCTAGATATTTATCCTGTGCATGCATGCAGTTCATGTTTTCACCGGTCGTTTGCATCATTTTTTTACACAGTGCATTCAGAGCTTGTCCAGTCAACTGTCAGAGATAACCTTTGGATAAAAATAGTTTCAGAAATATTTATCTTTAAAAGAAAGTTTACATGTAACGAGTCCTTGGAAAACATTTGTGAAACACACCTTTAGGCAATCAATCATGTAGGAAAACAGGGTATATATGTATGGCTCCTTTACAAATGATTGTCTTTAGCGATAAGACAGATAATTACACCCAAATCCTCTCTTTTGAAATGTCTGCTGATTGCGATAGGGATACTTTAAAATCAAATGGCCTGTTAGCCAATGACAAACCAAACCCGACACTGTGGGTTTGACTGTAGCAAACTCTTTTAGTCATGGTTGGGATGCCTTTATTCGGGACTTACACGAAAGCCAAGCTTTTCAGTCTGAATTTCTTGTATTCTTCGGTCAGCCGGTCTCCTCGCTTTTCTTGGGCTCTTGTTGACCCTGGTAAGTTTCTGCTTGCATTAAATTATGTAAACATAAAGGGCAGAAGAAGTCAGTTATTCTTGTGGTGGTCATTAAACATCCCCAATTTGCCTCACGAAAACGTCGACTTTTTTCCTTGATTTCTCTTGGCCGCACAGAGAGCAACTCCAGTCTGGGCATCAAAATGATAACTTCATGAATGTTTTCAGTTTGGTTTGTGAATGGCTGATCTGTGAGTGGCTAGCTCTTTTGCAACTTAAAACAAATTCGCCGAACCGATCAGTGATATCATTATGATAGTAATCCCACGTAAAAGTAAGAAGAAACTTAAGTCTTTCTGTAATTATTAGCACTATTTACGCATCTGGGTTTTGCTTTTAATATTAAGGCCTGATTTCATATACTAAATTGATGTATCTTCGCACATTGTACAAGTGGAGCTGAAGATACTTTAGACTCAAAAGGGAGGATTCATTCTCTATAAGTAAAATCCTTGTAGAAATGCATGTGCAGTAACATTCCTCGTTATGATAATTCGATGACAAATATGCCTAGCCACCTATAGTAAATCACTCCGTTGCAGGGCTAGTTTCATTTTTCTTTGGCTCATTTCTCTAGTGAATTGTTTATAATAGCCTCAAGTGCAGAACCTTTTTTATTTTTTGACTGAAATATGTCAAGTTGCGCTTCTCTTTTTAACTGCTATAGGATAAGAAGTGTAACTATCCAGTAGTTGACTCTTCTTTTATGGCGATAATGGTCTCGAGTCAGTCCCCGGCATGTGTTTTGTGACACTCAAATTAGATTGTTAGGAAACAATGAACTTTTAAGCCAAAATTTTCGTCCTAGATAGTGCAGGGGCACCCAACGAGAATATAGTTCAAAACCACTTAAACATAGGACTCCCGAAAATTCTGGCTGACCTTTTTACGGTAAAAATCCGTTAAAAAATGGGCAATTATACCATTTTTTAGATGTTCGAAAATCCTAGGAGAGGCAAGCAAGAAATTTTACAACAAATGTTCCAAAAATTCTAGATCTCAAATCGTCTTCCGAACAGATATTTTCCGAAGATTGACGATGGGTGCCCCTGATAGTGGAGCGGAAAAAAATTTATGCTAGCTGATTTGCAGCTCATGGGGCTTGTTCTTGAACCCCATTACGGAAGACTAAATTGTTATTATTCTCTTAAGTTTAAAGTGTTAAATAGACTTCAATTGCCGTGAAACCCCGTATTAAGCGGACACCCGTCCATGTACCCATATACCAAGCCAACATATTTCTGAAAAGCAAGCCTGTATGGGCGGCCTATCAGCAAAGTTGACGTAGGAGGTCAGCTTAAAGCATTTCACAGTCATCATCATCTTTCTACTGAAGGGCAGGTGACCAAACACTTTTTTCATTTCAATCCGCCCGGTCTGAGGTCATGATCGGCTGTTATTTTAATTTAGGCACTTGAAGGTTCTCTTCGCATCTCCCAGTTGACGTTGCACGTGTAGATAGGAAGCTACGGGGCTTGCCGTCCCCTTTTTGCTACTATATTTAGGTTTACGCAAAGCAATACGTTTTAGCATTTTCGTCATTGCACATAATAGTTGAACTTGAGCGCTTGGTGTGCGAAGGTTTAAATCTTCTTGTTTCTAAACCTCTTCATCACTTTTCTTAAGCTTTCCTGTTTGTCACTGAATTAAGTACTAAATGGTAAGTTTAAAACCTCATTAACGCTTTTAATTTTTTATTTGTATTTAGCTTCTGATGTAAGCTTCGATTAAAAGACCAACTGTGAAGATGTGGCGGACGCAGACTTTTATTCAGGTGTTATTTCTTCTCCAAGTTTTCTTTTGGAATTCGTTGGTGGAAGGCAGGTAAAATGTTTTTGTAATCATATCGGCACTTGGAAGAGCTAACGGCAATCCTTAATTAGAAACCACAAAAAGCCATAAGACGATGTTTTTCAGAGCCTAAAAGTATCGGATTGTGGTCCTATAGAGAACTTAAAATATTCTGCATTCAACATGCTGTACTGCTTATAGGTGGTAAAAGTCATGTGTAGTTTGATACTATAGCTTAAAACAACAGTCATATAGGACGATTCTCCAAGACTGAATCGTTGCCATGCAAGCTTTTGAGAACAGTTAAGAAATAAGTATCTTACTGGGCAGCCATTGAATATCTTTTGTTCTCCTGTTTGTGAGTTTTCGTATCACTTTTTTTTACGAAAGTATACCATTTAAACTGATGCTAAAACTGAAAAGTGTAGCTGTTTGCTTGTGTTGTCATAACTTGCCTTGTTTTCAGTCTATCGTGTTTGCAATATTGTTTTTTACCGGTTTTTGCAGCTCCGTACACGAAAATCACAAAAACAACACAAATCATGAATTTGACGTCCATTTAAGAACCAGGTATATAGGACTAATATTTGAATTATAAAAGAAGCTTTGAAACTCTTTTAGAAATATTCAATGTAATATTCAATTCTACTGGCCTCCACAGAAGAAGTGTTATTTTGACAACAGCCAATGCACTTAACCCAGATCAATTTAGGTTTATGGCAAACTGCCCACCTACCCCTCCCCTAACGTTAACATTTGCGTCTCACTTGGGGCAAAATGTTGGGTTACGGGAGGGGTAGGTGGGCAGTTTCCCAGAAACCTTAATTGATCCCTTAACCCTTCATGTCCTAAGAATGCCCAAAATTCAGCCTCGTACCGAGGCCTGTTCGCGCTATCTGAGTGACCAGTGGAGGCTTGGAATTTCAGCAAATTTCCCGACAAGCTTGTTTACGTCACATCCGAAATCGCCGAGGACGACTGGGACCGAGGCTCGCCAAAATTAATTTTCTCCTTGCAATATCCATACATTTTGAACAGAAAAGGCCATGAGAATCAACAAAATGATCATCTCAGGGAAAATGCTTTGTTCTTTTACAAATTCTCTCACCCAATTTTTTAAGGGAAGGAATGGAGATCAGTCTGGAGAATTATTTACTTACAAAACATTTCGTGCACTTTTCCAGGAAGATCAACCGAAGTATCCACCCCAATTCTAACCTGACAAGAATAATTCTGGGAGATGTAGCCCCGCCCTCTGATGCCTTAGAGTTTTCGTAAGTTTTTTCAATTTGTACGTTGTTTCTTCATTTTTCGCTATTTTCTCATTTTATTCTTAACATACATTAATCAAATTATTCTTTCTTTTTTAAATATTCCAGTGACGACACGGATTCCTCCGAAGCAGATTTTCCAGTTCTTCATCGCCTTTACGGAAACTACACCGCGGCTGGCAGGAACGTGTCGCGCCTGTTAGACGCAGTTTTTAAAAATTATGACAAAAGAATTAGGCCTTTTTACGCAGGTAAGCGCCTTTCCGTCCTGATTTTTTCATAGCTCATCTTTGTTAGATCGATGCTTTTGTGAACCATCTTACGGGTAAAAGATCTACGGAGTAGACGAGTAACCGCTTTGGGACAGTAAAGCAGTTGGAGCATGACAGACCGGCCTGCCAAGAGCTAGAGTGACCTGCCTCTAATCATTTTAAAACAGGCTAGCGTAAAGAAAAGGACATACTCAATGAAAGTGTGTGTACTATTACCACTAGTAGTAGCAAGAGAAAATAATGTTACAAAGAGGGAAACGCCCAGTCTAGCCCTTGGGGTATGCGAATTTCACCAAAGCTATTTTTAGACCAATTAAACGGCTGAAATTAATCGGAAGTTGGTTACGAAGAGGTCCACCAACTTTTATGTAGTGTTGTCAAGAGCGGATAATGGGAAATTACCCTATTTGTGTGTCGCCATAGAGTTCTAAAGCCGGATGACGTCATAAAACTTAAATCTGTGAAACGACGAATTACGTAAGCAATCTTGGGTCATATGTTTTTGGATCGTAGACCCCTGCGTCAAATTTAGAGGAATTTTGTTCGGAGTTATTTTGACAAAATACGGGCATAATGTGGGCTATTCTTTTTGTGCTAGTTTTTAAAACTTCGTCGCAATCTTGTAGGCGTCTTGGGTGTTTTTCTTTCAGAATATCGTGACGAATCCCATAATTTCACAAATTTAAGTTTTATGACGTCACGCTTAATTACTCTATTACAATAATCTGCATTGTTTTCTTTAAGGACGACGCGCCCAGACTTGGTGACGTTAAAATGTGCGGACTTCCCAGGAATTAGATTTCCGTTTAATTACAACCTCTATTCACACATCCCGGCCAATGCCCTGGTATTCAAATCTAATACACGCATTTCATTTCAGTGAAACCACTGGACCTTGGAATAAACTTGCTTATTCTTTCATTTGGAGAACTGAGTGAAACGAAAATGGTAAGTTCTGCTAGTATTAAAAATGCAATCTGAATTATAAATTAAAATATTTCTTTGATGTCACTATTTTGATAATTGCCCAGGAGTTCCTGGTCAGCACAAGTATCAGATCGGGGCTACACTATAACTACCTAACTATAACACTATTTAGTACTGTAATTTTACCATTAATATTTTTCTATTTAGGAGTTCTCAGTTGATTTGTACATGGGGCAGTTCTGGCAGGATCCTCGACTTGGCTTTGGTCTTAACCAGACCATAATTCTCAGTGGAGAGGCAACAGAGAAGCTATGGGTCCCAGACACATTCATTGTAAACTCTATCGACACTAAAATTCACAAGTTGATTGCAATTAACAAAAAAGCCTGGATACATTTAGGAAATGGGACCATTATGTTAGTCTTGCGGTGAGTTTGTGGCGCAACGGACGTACATGTAACCAAGTAACTTAAAGCTTTTTTGACTGTTTTAGAAATTTTATTATTACGTGCAGGTAGGGCAGTTTTTTAGACTCTTATGCTGAATACAAAATGAGTTTAAAAAGAGAGTATAAAACATGTGAAAAAGAACAACAACAACAAAACTAAACGCAAAACAACAACCAGTGCCGGTTCCGAAAAGTTTTTTTTCGGCCCTTCGGACATGGTATTTTTAAATATAAACGCTCCTCCCCACATTCTGGAGAGAGCCCGACGGCCCTGCCCTGGTCTAAAAATCCCACCTGGATCAACCACAACCACAACAAACGGAACTTTTTTCGTCGTTGTTTCTTTGTAAAATTTGAACCAGGAACGGTAGCAATCTTAGCTTTAAAGCATTTTGGTTGGCTTTTGCAATTTTCTTTTGCTGGACCTAACATTCAGGAGGCCTTCTTCAATGCTCCATCCCTATGGTTACGAAAAAGAACATTTCACCTTTTTTTTCTAATTTTGGTCTGGTTTGCAGATACACTGCTCGAAGCTCTTGTAAAGTGGACTTGAGGGATTATCCCTTAGATGAACAAATTTGCCACTTGGCCTTTGAGAGTTGTAAGTACAATTTATCTAAAATACAGTCAAACCTGTATATAACGGCCCTGTGTATAGCGGTCACCCTGTATATCAGTTGCCTCATATTTTCTGCAAAGTTGACCTATATATATCGGTCTCCCTGTATATAACGGTCACCTTGCCATTTCCAAAGGGTGAGGGTAAAGTCCTTCTTCCATGCATACAATATCCTCAGAGGGTCCCCAATAGGGTTCTTCAATTCCGTCATCCCGACCAGAATTTTCATGGAATCCCGTAATCCCGAGGGTTATTTTGGTATCCAGCCTCCTGCACATACTTTCAATCCCGAATCTCGCCTGAATTTGCTTTAAAATCCCGGATCCCAAAAAATTGAAGACCCTCTCTTCAGGCTAATAATATACTTTCCTGTTTCAGTTTCGTTCGAAGAAAAGGATTTAAACCTCACCTGGCACAGATCAGAGGTCGGAAGTGACATTTTCATTTATGACAAAGAAATGGCACAGTTTGATATTTTGTCTGCCAAACGGTATCAAAAACATAAACTTTATCATTCTGGTGAGTATTATGTGAAAAAACTCAGGTAACTATTAGCGCGCGAAACATAGAAAAGCACCATTCACTGGCTTAGATCCAAGGGGGCTGAGGAGCAATGTACTTTCGTTGGTTTTGGAGAAGGCTTATATATACTATATCTAGTCGGTACTGGTACACTGACGAAACCAATACATATGAAATGCTTTCGCGCCAACCTTATCTTGGGCGTTCATTGTTTACTCTTCCTCAGCTGGTTGAATTAAGCTTTTTAGTTTTCTTGATATTCGAGGCCACTTGGCCAGTGACGTCCATGGATGGGTGATGATTACCCTGCGAGCAAGCAATCCATTTAGGGGATATCGAGAGAGGTCACTCGCGAGCGGCACGCGAGAGGAGACGTGGGAGATCTTGGTTGTAGGCTAGGTGATGATGCGCCATACGCCCAAAATGCTATCGATTGCTGCTAACGGTGCGGGAAGGCATTTAGAGCGGTTTTCACTTGACTGTCGTAAAACCAAAACCAAAGTAAATACACTAGCCAACCAAAGGGCGTAGTAAAACCAAAACCAAAACCAAAACCAATCCCTTTCGACAGTCAAGTGAAAACCGCTCTATAAAAGATTAACTAATCCTTACCACTTAGATTTTTTCTTGCCTCTTTAGAAGGGTTCGCTGGTGTGACGGCAACAATCCGTTTCAGACGTCGCACGATGTACTACATGTTCCAAATGTACATTCCCTGTATCTGTGTTGTTATCCTATCCTGGGTCAGTTTCTGGGTCGACGAAACAGACGGCTCTGACCGCGTGGGACTAGGTATAGCTACAGTGTTGACTATCAGCTTCATGCAAGGCGCACTGAATGATAACGTGCCACGCGTGTCCTACCTCAAGTCAATCGATTACTTCTTACTGGGCTCGTTCGTATTCGTTTTCATGACTTTGATTGAATATGTGCTGGTGTTAAAGCATTCAAGGAAACAGAAGAGGAGGAAGAAGGAACAAGAGATAAAAACGTTAGAACGTGAAAGGAAGCGGCAAGAAGCTCTAATGATTACAGAGGACGAGGATGAGAAGGTAGGATGTGTAACTATCTGTGCTGGGAAAAAAGCTTCCGTTGCATATACCCCCTGAATATTTCTCGATTTTCTGTTTTTTAAATTGAAAAAGATAATCAGGCAAGAGAAAATTAAACCGTAAATAGCAACGGTATCAGTGATTTTCTGGTTCTGCGGATCACTCCCTTGTTTTGCCTTTGACGCGATGAGGAGTTTATGGCATGAGACAGGGCACCCGATCAACATTTGTGAAATACTGTAGGTGTTTTCTGTTTATCTTGAGAATAATATTGTGACAAAATAAAAAAAAATTGCAAGCAAAAAACTTCCTAAGGTTCTATGTATATTCTCTGACTTTTTTCTTATTGATTTTTTCAGATAAGTAAAACCACTGATGGTAAACTGGACGATTCGCAGCGACGATTTTTGCCACAACACAACCGGCGTTGCAATGCTCGCACAGTGTTGCAACCAGTTGAAACAATGTAGCAACCGATGTCGCTACGCTGTGTTGCGCTAAAAATCGTCGTTGAAAATTGTCTTGGTAACATCATTAAGATCCTCTAGATTTCATTTTCTTTTAAATACTCTTTCTTTTTTCAAGGTGACTGTAACAGTGTCCATTGGTGACAAAACATATGATTTTTGCAGCGGAAGAGAGAAAAAGAACATTGGTGAACCAATCAACTGCGCGAATCACAACAATAATGCGCGCACAGTGAGGATAAAAGAACCAGATGACAACATGAAAGAGAATCGGCGAAAACCTGACAGAACACATTTGAAAAAGCTTCAAAGAAGACCGTCTATGATTAAGATTATTAAAAAGACCATCGAACCGAACGGCGAAGAGGAGATAAATTATCTGGATCGCTATTGCCGGGTCGTGTTTCCCATTTCATACGCAATCTTTCTGGGAGTCTACTTTGGGATTTATACAGTTCGATGGGAAAATCTAATGAGTTCAGGAGACTAAACTAAAAGTTGATGAAAAATTGCGAGTATATATTGGACGAAATTTGTCATTGGTTTAGAGCAGATCAGTATTTTCCTCTCTAAAAAAAAATGTCAAACTACGCACGCGCCAAACACTGTCCGCAACAACTGAACATGAACAAAGCAACTGTTTCCTCTAGTACGCCAGGAGCCGATTACTAGTAATCGGCGTTCTGACTGCGCGTGAGCAAACCAGTCTCCGTTATGTAGTTTTCTGCCAATCTCGTACCCAGATCTCTTGTCGACAAGAGATCAGGATATCAGATTAGTTTTCTGCTGGTGACGTAACGATTTCTAGTCCAATTAAAACTTCATTTGAATAATTATGCAGCTTTTGGGCCAGGGCAATGTTTTAGTTGCTTTAGTTTAGTTTCCTAAGCTCTAAAATCTTTTGTAGATAAGTCGCGTCCCATCCGCTTAGGCAACTATATAATGTTTTCAAAATACCAATTTTAAACTTAATTGGCTAAATTTTCTTTGGCCCATGAAAATCCAGTAGGAAATGTTTTTCTCACTTTCTTTTTCTACATATTTCGATAGAAATGCCTCCATTTTATCGTGCTCAAAGCCACATTTTACAAGCTTAACCCTGCAAAAATTTTTTTCTTTCAATCATGCTCTTAATTTCAGATGATAACATAAATTTACTCAGCTGTTTAGTTCAACGCCGGGTACGTCCTAGTAGACTACACACTTTAGTATTCAGCTGAAGATTTTTTTTGTTGTCCTTGAAAAGTGTAGAGAATCTTGTTGCCGACTGTGAATTAAGCAAATAAAGGAAAACAAATAATTACAGTTTGTGTCTTCGACACCTAAAGGACGCTGTCTATAAATTAAAGGAGGCGAACATATGATATCTTGTACTGCGGCATTACGGAGTAACATGGGATTGTTAAATTCCTCGCTATCCAATTGCATGAAAGACTAGAAAGAAACCTAGCAATCACCGTAATCTAAATTACCGTATTACCCTCATGCCCAGTACATATTATGCAGTATTAGGGGTTAAGAGGCCTTTGATGGGGTTTGGCAAGACAGGATAAAGCTTTATCCCCTCTTGGCTTTTGTAAGAGGAACTGCAGCCACTTTTCTGAGCTCAATAGTTAATAACTGTTGGCAATTATCAAAAGAAAGACAAAAACATGTTTATCAATCTTAGTTTAAAGCGTAGTATGAATAAATTTTATTTCTCGGAATGACTGATGTCAGTCGTACTGATCTCTCTTTAGTCCTGCAACTATAAGTAATCACTGATTGAGGATCCGCGTTCGTCTCTTACGCAAACGAAATCAAGTCGAAAGGAGTCCAGCTTCCGACCGCCGAGAAGCCCCTGATAGAATTAATAGGGACGGCTAATTTGCAGTCGCCCGTGATAGCTCGAAAATTTCTGCCTTAGTGCCACAGGAACACCAGATTAGGATGCGCTCTGACGAACGCGACAACTGAGGAGGAAAATGAGTTAAAAATGTTTTTACCGTTGATGCGATTGTCTTGACAAGCAAGTTCAAAGAGGGACCTGGTTAGAGGCAATTTGAATTCTTTTCAAGGCGGCTGAAGACTCCAGTGACTGAGAAAAAAATCCAATAACTTTAGGCTTAGGCCAAACCTCGAACTTTTCTTGAGACGAACCATACACTAATTTGGATCGACCTAGTTAAGTTACGGTTGTCTCAGTGTTGGGTCAGACGTGGAACTTAAGACTTCTAAGGCACGTAGATCCGGAACAACCAACTGAATCAGACCAAAAAGCAATTTCAGTAATAAATTTTCTCCCGAACGAGGCTAAATATACAACAAATCTCAATTTATTAGTTTAGTCCGTCGCATGTAAAGATCGACGTTTGTCCCGGAGACGATCTTCAGACGTTCTATCCGTCTGAAGCAGACGATCCAAACTCATTCAGACGCGGAACTTAACTGCATAGGCGTACGGGAAATTTTTTGCCAAGGGGGGCGGTAAACCATTTGCCCAAAAAAATCGCGCAAGTTGCCCAAATTTTTACGAAAGAGTCGAAAAGAAATGAGGGCCATATTGTAACACCATAGGCCGTCCTGGCATTGAAGGTGGCTCGATACAGTTTTTCAGGGTCAATACCAAGTCTGAGCATAAACTACGTCGCCATAAACAAATATTTGTCATCATCAGGGTTGCATTGACATCGGAGTTGTCATAGCAACGAAATGACTCCATTACCTATTTTACTTCAGCCTTACAAAATCGTTCACAGGAGCTTTTTTCTCCAATACGGTCGCCTCGATGTTCGTGAAGTTTAAGCAGAACCTTAAGAGGGTCATTGAGAAATTTTGGAATAAAGAATACGGTCAGAAAAGGAAAATCTTGACTATTGGCCGTTATCTGTAGAAAACGAAGCGCTTTTGACCTGCTATTTCACCTCCTAGTAGCTTTAATCTTTTCAACAACATATGTGAAAGATCGTGGAGATAGCTCGGCTTGATTGCTAGAATCGAAAGAAGGATTCATTAGTATGTATCGAGACACTCTTGTTAGCGATTTTGTAAACATTTCGGTCTACTTTAACAAATTAGCGAATAGTTTAAGCCGCTCGATAGATTTTTTAAAAGAATTAAGATTCTTCTGGTAATTCAAACTGAGAATTAGTCAGTCACTTCTTCATTTTCATACCCATTGTAGCCTGCGTAGCATGCTCGCGCGGAAACGCTTGCCATGCAGGCTATATCCATTGCTAAATGTTATCTGCCATACACTGTTCTTCTAGTGGAGCTGATCCTAGAAAGTTTATTTTAATCAATTCACGACTGGAAATAGCCCATTCCAGCGAGTGCAGTGCAGTATAGTGCCCAACAAAAAAAGAAAACTGCAAATATATGTAAATTACTCATCACATGCTAGGCAACCACTGTTGAACTGGATTATTACGCCGACTTCAGGTTAATATTCAGGTGTTTAAAATAATTAAATAAACATGAAGACGTCTTTAAAAACTGGCTTTGCCCAAATTTTCTCTCGCTGCCCAAAAAATCTGAGTTGCCCAAAATTTGGGGGGGCTGCAGCCCCCCTCGCCCCCCCGGCCCGTACGCCTATGCTTAACTGAGCCAGGCGTGGTCGCACTAGAGCGAATTCTATTTGTTCTACCAAGAATTGGGTCAACATTGGAGTTTTTGCTAATGCGACCCCTGCGGGCAAAATTTGCCAGAGGACTGAAAAGATGGAAGATGCCGACAACCTCGAGCTCGTTAGCGAGAGACGGAACAGGTAGGAGAGGACCCTGGAAACGAGGTTGAGATGCCGAAGTGTATCGGTGGGACAGGCAGATTTTTCCAATATCGCCCCCCCGAAAAACAAAAATCAACAACATGTAAAAGAGTCAGTCGACTGCGTGTTTATTTAAGGAATTTGATGCACTGCTATACTTTTCGGGAAAGCGAGCAAAAACCTAGAAAAAGTAATGAGGTGCATTCGGAGCTGCTTTCGGAATATAAAATCCTTCGGAATAGTGTGATCGTAGTAATGTACTTCAAACCACGATTCAGCAAAGCGAGATGGTGTCCAAAAGAGTAAATGGGCTCTGAAATTGTCGTTGTCGGCGCCTTCTTCGTTCGGCAAAGTGCAGAATGACTTCTTGCTGTATCAGTAAGGCATACAGACGCAAAAGTATCAAAACAATTTGAGTTTATTGTCGAAAATTGAGGTACAAGATAAAAGAAAAAACATCGAAAGAACTCGAAAGCGCAGAGAGAACAGCAATTTTTTTCAGGCCGCTAATTAGGTTACTGAAGTCGTGCGGAACGAAATCAAAACATTTCATAATGTAGACGTTTTGTCAATCACCTCACGAGAATTTAGCCTTGTATGTAGCTTCATGAGCGGAACACAAACCGAAATAAATCGGTCGGTGCCAATTTTTTGGGTCTAATCGCACCGACCAAAAAAACAAAGAAAAAAAAATTCGCTCTAGTGCGAACCCCCGGCTTAAGTTTGGTTCGTGTCATAAAAAGTTCGACGTTTGGCATAGCTAGACCTTAGACTCGAGAAGCCACAAATGCATTCATGTATGACTGTTCATTGCCGAACCTAGGGTCTATTATTTTCCGTAAATCTGACTAAAGGTTGACTGATAACTTGGCTGCAACGTCCTTCACTTTCTTCCCCGGTAGGTACAAAACGCTGGTCACAGCTCACAAGGATAAAGTAGAGCAACAGGGGCGGATCTAGGGGGAGGGTGCAGGGGGTGCGCACCCCCCCCCGAGTTGACCTACGGTTTTCTAATACAACTGGTATTCTGCAAAAAAAAAAAACTATGTGGTTTATTATTGTTGAAGTAGAGAAAGAGACGAGTGCACCCCCTCCTAAAAAATATCCTGGATCCGCCCCTGAGCAAGAAGATCTCAGGTTAGTGTCCATCCTGACAGGGAGGTACGAGAAGTTGCATTAGAGTAGTATATGTGTTTTACATTTACCTAAGCAGAGTATCAGGCTTGTTTAGTGGTGGGAGAAAGGGAGAAAACAGCGAAAGGGGAGAGATCAGAAGGCGATAGTACACCTCCTGTTCCCTCTTCGCCTTTTCAATTTTTCTCGCGATAACCCTATCCTGCGTAGGGCGCCGTAATAACGGTGTTGCTGACCGTAAGGGAGGGGTACCTTTCTCCTAGCGTTCCCATATTTCTCATGCGCCTGCAACGCAGGTTTAATCACCGCTGACCCTCAGGGATAACCTGATACTACCCGACACAGTTTAGGTTTACAAGCTATTAGCCTGTTCAACAGGCGCTTTATGAACGCAGCATTTCACGTGAAATGCTGCGTTTGCATCGCTTGGCTCATAAGACGCCTATTCTTTGTAGACTTATCTTTGTTTTTAAATGCTTTGAATAAACATATGTATGTATGTCATGTATTTATGTATGTAAGACTAAAATGATGGTAAAACTGAAACGGGTAGACATATTTCAGACAAAAGAGGATAGATCAAGTATTCCATGAGGCTCCACGTCCATTTC